AGAAAGTGGGGGTGGGGTTACATTTTAGAGGGGAGGGAGATGGCAGGAGCACCATTTGGGTGGGACACCAAAATGTACCTTCGCCTGTGCAGAAAAAAATCCTTGCACCGGCCCTGACCAACCTCTAGGAAAATTTCCACTCAGTTGGTCACGGTAGCACGAATCCGTGTATTCTGATGGCGAGGGAGTACTTAATCTGGAGTGATTCCTCCATCCACCTCGAATGTGGACGGGGGAATCGGCTCATATTTTTTTTTTTTTTTTTTTTTTTTTTTTTTGTTTCAGTCAAAACTGTCATGAAAAATATGACTAATATATGGGCAGCCTTATTGAGCCTACCTTAAAGAAGAATTTCATTAAAGCCAGCAACTGTTTAGGCAATGAATACCTTGGTCAGGGTGAGTGCCACGTTCACATTTGAGTCCCCCCTTACATCTAATTCCTCAGCATTTTCCCTATAAATCAGAGTCCCCCCCTTAACATTTATGTAAGGTGCTGGTACACTGGGGACACTGGAGTCTGCAGAGTCCCTTCTTACATTAAAGTCCCACCCCCCAAAGCAGAGTGCCTTACAACGGAATCTGGCGGAGTGACTCCTTACATCAGAGTTTAGTTGTCCCTAAGTGCTAACTGGACATGAAGTGAACTGGTTAAGTTTGTGAACCTCCTGGAAGAACAGATACATGAAGAAAACTATGATATAATTGGTATTGCTGACTCTTGGCTTCATTCTTCAGATGACTGGGCTATTATTATTCCTGGCTATGTTCTCTTTTGGAGAGACAGGATAAAAAGGAAAGGTGATGGTGTCTTTCTCTATGTGAGAAATGATCTCAGAGCGAGTGTGAAAGAGGACCTAGTTGTTAGAGAGTTTGATGAGGCTGAAGCATTATGGGTGGAACTTCACATGGGGGTGCGTACTACAAAGGTAACCATTTGAGTTTGTTATTGGCCACCCATTGTTAATGAGGAGGTGGAGACTCAGCTCCTTGCACAGATCGAAAAGGCTGCAAGGGCTGGGACAGTGCTAATAATGAGGAATTTTAATTACCTGGAAATTGACTGGAGTAATGGCACTGCAAGAACAGTTAAAGGGCAAAAATGTATAAACCTACTGCAGGACAATTTGTTGGTAATGTTCATAGAGGCCCCAACTAGGAATAATGCTATGTTGGACCTGGTAATCTCAAACCAAGCAGAGTTTATTCCTAATGTCCATATAAAGAACATCTGGGTAGCAGTGACCAAACCCCCAAAAATTCTTCAAATATATTGATATTAAAAAGGTTCGGTCCAAGCATGTAGGCCCTTTACAAAATAATCTAGAGTGGGTGACGGGATAAATAGAAGGAAATTTATCAAATACCTTCTTCAGCTCTGTGTATACAAAGGAGTATGGGGGAGCTTTTGTCCATAATGGGCATGGTATTGACACAGCTCCAGATGATCCACATTGGCTCACAACTGATATGATCCAAAAATATTTAGACAGACAAAAGGTGAATAAAGCACCTGGACCATATGACATACACCCACGGGTCCTTTAAAGAATTGAGCTCTGTCATTTCAAAGCGATTGTTTCTAAGTTTTAGGGACTCTTTAATGACTGGCATAGTACCACTGGATTGGCATAAAGACCACATTCACCAGATTCATACTCCTGAATGGTCTAGGATTGTCAGTGGTGTACCCAAAGGTTCTGTGTTAGGTACCTTACTTTTTAATATATTTATATAAACGATATAGGGTCTGGGATTAAAAATACCATTTTTCAGTCTTTGCAGATGACACCAAGCTGTGCAGTGGAATAACGTCCTTACAGGATGTCTCCAATTTACAAGCCGACCTCAATGCACTGTTTAATTGGGCAACTGTGTGGCAAATGAGGTTTAATGTTGATAAATGTAAGGTTATGCACTTGGGGGCTAAGAATATGCATGCATCATACATACCAGGGGGAGTACAACTGGGGGAATCAATGGTGGAGAAGGATTTGGGGGTTCTGGTAGATCAAAAGCTTAATAATGGCATGCAATGCCAAGCTGCAGTTTCTAAAGCGAGAAAAATCCTCTCTTGTATTAAAAGAGGTATAGACTCCAGAAAGAGAGATGTCATTTTACCCCGATACAAATCATTAGTAATACCTCATCTGGAATATGCAGTTCAGTTTTGGGCACCAATTCACAGAAAGAATATTAGGGAACTGGAGAAAATACAGAAGGGCAATTAAACTGTTAAGAGCCATGGAGGAGCTCAGCTATGAGGAGAGATTAGAGGAACTGAATTCATTCTTTCTGGAGAAAAGGAAATTAAGGGGGATATGATCAACGTGTATAAATACATCAGTGGTCCATATAGTGAACTCGGTGTAGAGCTATTCACCCTAAGGTCCTCACAGAAGACAAGGGGCACTCTTACATCTGGAGGAAAAGAGATTTAATCTCCAAATAGGGAAAGGTTTCTTCACAGTAAGAGCTGTGAAAACTTGGACAGACCCCCTCAAGAGTTGCTTCTGGCCAGCTCAGTGGATTGCTTTTTTAAAAAAGAGGCCTGGATTATTTCCTAGATACACATAATTTAGGTAAAGTTGATCCAGGGAATATCCGATTGCCTCTCTGGGGATCAGGGAGTAATTATTCCCTTGCAGGAGCAAATTGGAGCATGCTTTGCTGGGGTTTTTTTTTGTCTTCCTCTGGATCAACTGTGGGCATAGGATTCTAACTTTTTTTTTTTTTTTAATGGTTGAACTAGATGAACGTTTGTCTTTTTTCAGCCAGACTAATGTAAGATGGGGAGAGACTGGAAGGAAATAAGGAGAGTTCAGTGGTAGTGTAGAGTTCAATCACCCTAGGCTAGTCTCTGCAGGCGCAGAGGCTTAAATCATACAGCCAGATGGATCTGCCAGGTGCACTGCAATGCTTTTAAATTTGCCGTCCACACATCCCCTTTCTTAGGCACAGCACTGGTTGGGGATTGGAGCGTGGGAGAGCAGACGCAGAGGAGAGGGGTGGCAGGAGGCGGAGCAGATCAATATCTCTGTCCTTTATTGTCTGTGCAGGAGATGGGGGGGGGGGGGGGGGGTTGGTTGCGCTAGCTGGGCTCTGGGAGAGTATTACAGACACTCAGCCTTCACAGCTGCAACAGCCAAATACTCATAAATATTCCTGCTTCTGAAGGATGGTTGGAAACCCTGCCCAGGCACAACATCCATGGGGGCAGGTGTTGCCTTGGGGAAGGGGGGGCACAGCCAACAGAGATCTGGCTAGGCAGGTTTTCTCTGACTGACTGACTTCGGGGAAGTGTGATCCCCACCCAGAGGCATTCAAGCAACTCTGGTGAAGGTGAGTGATTTCAGATGTGGATCTTCTGGCATTCTGGTATGCAGTCTTTGGTCAGCAAGTCTAGGCTGCTGAGCAAGGTTAGTCAGTTGTTTGGGGCCTGTTGGTGTGTTGTTTTCCCCTCATATTCAGTACTTTGGGACATCCCTATCATAATGGATGAAGATATCCTGTGACCTGGGATGTACGATACAGAAAGTAGGATTTTTGGTTTACCTGTAAAATCCTTTTCTGGGAGTATATCACAGGGTATTGAGAACCCGCCCCTCTTCCTTTTTGTTGCTTTATGGCTTGCTAAAAAAACTGAAACTATGCCTAGCTGGGAGGGGTTATGTCTGGGAGAGGATTTCCTGTCTTTTTTGCCAGTGTCCAATCATCTGAAGGTGGCAGTATAACCCTACCGCAATGGATATGTGGATACCCTTTGTCTCTTGGTAAAGAATATTACAGGTAAAGTATTTAGTTTAGTGTATTTCCCAGCTTTTTCATTTTACTCCTTGCCAGCAGTCAGGAGAAGAAGCCTCGTGTAAACTTTCCCTGTTCTGAGTTAACATCAACATATAGACACACTGTTGAAGTATCTTGCCAGACAATGGGCTCTAGTTTTCACCCTAGGCTGTATCTTCTACACCTGACACCCCCACTAGCGTTTTCCTTGTAGTTCCTCATTCCCTGCAGAAAGGCACAAAAGCATTGTATTTCATTGTTAATTTGCCAAGCACTCTGCAGCCAATGTAATATACAGTATCTCACTGAAGTGTGTACACCCCTCACATTTTTGTAAATGCCTACATGTACTGTGACATACTGAAGCAGAGCACGATCCCCTCCCTTTGGAGACTGGGCCACAGGGCAGTATTCCAACATGATAACGACCCCAAACACACCTCCAAGACGACCACTGCCTTGCTAAAGAAGCTGAGGGTAAAGGTGATGGACTGGCCAAGTATGTCTCCAGACCTAAACCCTATTGAGCATCTGTGGGGCATCCTCTAACAGGAGGTGGAGGAGCACAAGGTCTCTATCATCCACCAGCTCCGTGATGTCGTCATGGAGGAGTGGAAGAGGACTCCAGTGGCAACCTGTGAAGCTCTGGTGAACTCCATGCCCAAGAGGGTTAAAGCAGTGCTGGAAAATAATGGTGGTCACACAAAATATTAACACTTTGGGCCCAATTTGGACATTTTCACTTAGGGGTGTACTCACTTTTGTTGCCAGCAGTTTAGACATTAATGGCTGTGTGTTGAGTGATTTTGAGGGGACAAAAAATTTACACTGTTATACAAGCTGTACACTCACTACTTTACATTGTAGCAAAGTATCATTTCTTCAGTGTTGTCACATGAAAAGATAGAATAAAATATTTACAAAAATGTGAGGGGTGTACTCACTTCTGTGAGATGCTGTATATATGGAAAGTTTTACATAACAACTGGTGGGCGACATTGGCAACTCCTTAAACTGTGCAATCACTGTGTGCTTGTGAAGACCTCATTGTCTTAAAAGTCAAATAAAAGGGCTTCCTAATTGTCACAAACATTCACTCTGTACAACTCTTATTGTAGCAATTCCACAGTTTGTTCTCTTGACTGGAATGGTTAACTCTTTGCCCATTTGTGCCCCTTTGTGACTGTGCTGGTTTTTTTTTTTTTTTCTTCACAGAAAGTCCATGAAATGCTAAAGAAGGGATGGGATGCCGAGGGATCGCCATTCAAGGGGCAGGCGTTTGACCCTTCCATGTTTAATATATCCCCAGGTGCTGTGCAATTTTGAGAAGAAGGGTATACACAGGAGTGTTTATTTTTCTGTCCCTGCAGAGGTTAACGTCTACATTGCTCCATCTAAAAGACCAAAGCTGCCTCTCTAAACCATTACAATACACACCTGTGTATAATAATGTATTTAAATGATGTTTAAAAACTGGTTTGTAAACGATGTTCAACTGGGACTTGGTAGGGACTGGATTTTTATACATATTTTGTGAAATGCAGAAATCGGTTCTTCTTTCCATCATTCTGCTGGGTTTATTGGGAAGTCGCTGCAGTTAATCACTTGCCCATGTATCACACACAGTGAAATGTCTGCAGTTGGTTTTGTTTACATGAGGTTTCCAGTTTAAAAGGGAATCCCTATTGTAGTGTGAATGCTCCTGCTAGTTACATGGATGCTGTAACCTTTTTTTAATGCTCTAGTTTGATTTTATGTACAGTGGCAAAAGCTGGCAACATGGTTTTACACCAGACATAATGATGCCAATAGCTTCACAAGAAAAAAAAAATCAGAATAATAGGGGAAGCTGAGGAACCTTTTGTGTGCCTATATAGACAAGTGAGGAACTGATAGAAATATCAATTGAAATTGCAAATCACCTTTGACCATTCAGTAAACACTTGACATTTTAGGCCAGAAGCTTTAGTAGTGACATACAATATAAGAAAAAGAAGAGCAATCTTGTGTTCTCAGAGATATTCAGAATTGATACATATGTCAAATTTATTCCCTATTGCAACATTGTTTTCTTTGGAAAAGCGTGATATTCTATATTGCCAGCTGACATTGGGTTTATATTAAGAAAAACAAAAAATAAGAATTTTAATAGGAATTATAATTGACTGTAAATTCCTTATCTTGAAGTACAGTACAGGACACAGAACTTGTATTCTTCGACTGTGGGTTTTATGCAGGCTATCTTAAGGTGATTGCAATCACCTGAAGGTAGAACCAGCATATAACTCATGATCTAAGAATACAAGTCATGTGTCCTGTATTATACAGTTAAGATACACACTTTAAGAAGGCATGAGATTTCATTTACGGTGGTTATATTTTCCTGGAAAAACATTTTGTATACTTATTGCAACCACCTTTTTTTTTTTTTTTTTTTTTTTTTTTTTTCTTAAAGGGGTTATAATACAGAGTTGTTTTTTTTTTGTCAAGATCAATCCCTTGCCATTATTGAACTGTTGGTCTCAGTGTTACCCTCACAACCACTACCTCTGGCCTGTAGTCTCCATACTTCACATTTGGTTTTCTGGCTTCTCCTTTTATGGACATAACACTGGATCAATATTTATGAACTTGATGTAATCATGTAAATGGTTAGCACTTCCGCCTGGCAGTACTAGGGTCGTTGGTTCGAATCCCAACCACGGCATCACCTGCCTGGAGTTTGCATGTTCTCCCTGTGCCTGCGTGGGTTTCCTCCGGGTACTCCTGTTTCCTCCTACACTCCAAAGACATGCTGGTAGGTTAATTGGCTCCTGTCTAAATTGGCCCTAGTATGTGTATGTATGAATGGGCGTTAGGGACCTTAGATTGTACACCCCTTGAGGGTTAGGAACTGATGTGAATGTAATATATTTGTAAAGCGCTGCTTAAATTGATGGCGCTATATAAGTACCTGAAATAAATAAATAATAAATAACCGATTATAAAACCGTATGTAATATCAAAGTGTGTGCAGCATTGACTACATTTTTTGTTTTTACATGTAACAAGTTGTTCATCCCCTTCAGGTTCATTATGGTGTATCATCCTCTCCATACCAATACAATATACTGGTGCATCTATGATTGTGGTTTGACTCTTTTCTCACTGCTACTATTTAGGGAGGTGTGGTTATTTTTAGTCTGGCCATGAAGCAGAGTATAAAAAAAAAATTATATATACAGTGAATATAAAAAGTCTACACACCCCTGTTAAAATGTCAGGTTTCTGTGATGTAAAAATATAAGACAAAATAAAAAAAATTCAGAACTTTTTCCACCTTTTAATGTAACCTATAAGCCTTACAACTCAGTTGAATAACAAACTGAAATATTTTAGGCGGAGGGAAGTAAAAATTTAAAAAACTAAAATAATATGATTGCATAAGTGTGCACACCCTTAAACTAATACTTTGTTGAAGCACCTTTTGATTTTGTTACAGCACTCAGTCTTTTTGGGTATGAGTCTATCAGCATGGCACATCTTGACTTGACAATATTTGCCAACTCTTACTTTCAAAAACATTCCAAATCTGTCAGATTGCAAGGGCATCTCCTGTGCACAGCCCTCTTCAGATCACCCCACAGATTTTTGATCGGGTTCAGATCTGGGCTCTGGCTGGGCCATTCCAAATCTTTAATCTTCTTCTGGTGAAGTATGCTTTGGATCGCTGTCATGCTGAAAGATGAAGTTCCTCTTCATGTTCAGCTTTCTAGCAGAAGCCTGAAGGTTGACTAGTATTTGGAACTGTTCATAATTCCCTCCACCTTGACCAAGGCCCCAGTTCCAGCTGAAGAAAAACAGCCCCAAAGCACGATGCTGCCACCTCCATGCGTCACTGTAGGTACAGTGTTCTTTTGGTAAAGTGTAGTGTTGTTTTTGCGCCAAACACATCTTTTGGAATTATGTCCAGAAAGTTTAACCTTGGTTTCATTAGACCATAACACATTTTCCCACATGCTTTTGGGAGACTTCAGATGTGTTTTTGCAAAATTTAGCTGGGCTTGGATGTTTTTCTTTGTAAGAAGAGGCTTCCGTCTTGCCACTCTACCCCATAGCCCAGACGTATGAAGAATACAGGAGATTGTTGTCACATGTACCACAGAGCCAGTACTTACCAGATATTCCTGCAGCTCCTTTAATGTTGCTGTATTGGCAGCCTCCCAGACCAGTCTTCTTCTTGTCTTTTCATAAATTTTGGATGGACGTCCAGTTCTTGGTAATGTCACTGTTGCGCCATATTTTCTCCACTTGATGACTGTGTTCCATGGTATAGCTAATGCCTTAGAAATTCTTTTGTACCCTTCTCCTAACTGATACCTTTTAAAAATGAGATCCCTCTGATGCTTTGGAAGCTGCAGACCATGGCTTTTGCTGTAGGATGCGACTAAGAAAATGTCAGGAAAGACCTACTAGAACAGCTGAACTTTATATGGGGTTAATCAGAGGCACTTTAAATGATGGCAGGTGTGTACTGACTCCTATTTAACATGATTTTGAATGTGATTGCTTAATTCTGAACACAGCTACATCCCAAGTTATAAGAGGGTGTGCACACTTATGCAATCACATTATTTTCGTTTTTTATGTTTACTTCCACCCCTAAAAGATTTCAGTTTGTTTTTCAATTGCATTGTTCAGTTTATAGGTCACATTAAAGGTGGAAAAAGTTCTGAAATGATTTATCTTTGTGTTATTTTTTTACCTCACAGAAACCTGGCATTTTAACAGGGGGTGTAGAATTTTTATATCCACTGTACTGTGTGTATGTATATATTTATATATGTATATATATACACTATATTGCAAAATGTATTGGGGCGCCTGCCTTTACACTCACATGAGCTTTAATAGCATCCCAGTCTTAGTCCGTAGGGTTCAATATTGAGTTGGCCCACCCTTTGCAGCTATAACAGCTTCAACTCTTCTGGGAAGGCTGTCCACAAGGTTTAGGAGTGTGTCTATGGGAATGTTTGACCATTCTTCAAGAAGCACATTTGTGAGGTCAGGCACTGAAGTCGGACGGGAAGGCCTAGCTCACAGTCTCCACTCTAATTCATCCCAAAGGTGTTTTATCAGGTTGAGGTCAGGATTCTGTTCAGGCCAGTCAAGTTCCTCCCATCCCAAACTCGCTCGTGCATGTCTTTATAGACCTTGCTTTGTGCACTGATGCACAGTCATGTTGGAACAGGAAGGGCCATCCCCAAACTGTTCCCACAAAGTTGGGGGCAATGAAATTGTCCAAAATGTCTTGGTATGCTGAAGCCTTAAGAGTTCCCTTCCCTGGAACCCCTGAAAAACAACCCCACACCATAATCAGGCAAGTACCATTTTCCTGGCAACTGCCAAACCCAGACACGTCAATTGGATTGCCAGACAGAGAACTGTGATTCGTCGCTCCAGAGAACGTCTCCACTGCTCTAGAGTTCATTGGCGGCAAGCTTTACACTGCTGCAGCCAACGCTTTGCATTGTATTTGGTGATGTAAGGCTTGGATGCAGCTGCTCAGCCCTGGAAACCCATTCTATGAAGCTCTCTACACACTGTTTTTGTGCTAATGTGAAGGCCACATGAAGTTTGGAGGTCTTTAGCTATTGCCTCTGCAGACCATTGACGACTTCTGCGCACTGTGCGCTTCAGCATGTCGGCACTGGGGAGACATGATGGTCGGTTAACCCAGCCAGTGTGAGAACACTGTGGGATTGTGGGACAGGTGAATGTCCGTTTTTTAAAAGTCAGCAGTTGCAGTTTTTGTAGCTGCTGACTTTTATGTTTTTTTTAATTCTGACTGGACCTCCGTTTTAACTAAAGATGTTTCCACAATGGGTCCCCCCCATTACATGGCATGGCGCTGTGGATCAGGTTCAGACACATGCCTCATGGCAGTTATGAGTGAGACCAATATTTCCAGTCTAGATGTGTGTTATATACTGGACTTGTGTGTAAGGAATCGACAACCCACCCCCCTTGCAAACATGATGACTTTCTAAGGGAAATTGCACATTCCTGCAAGGAGAATGGGCTGGCTTGTCCATATAGTCACATTCCTTGAAAATGGCTTCCACACTAATGATTCTTAAACTTGGATAGTCCAGTGATTCACTCCACTTGCTATGGTGCATTCACCTACCAGCGTGCTTCAAAACAATATGTGAAGTGACTGCTCACCTCCAATACAGATCCATACTCTCATATAGGTCAAAAACGCTTAGGTACATCTCCTTATAAGATTTTCCAATCAGCAACCTCCCAGCCAGGTTTTCCTTCCTTTCACAGTGCTCTCCTCC